CGTTAGGGCCCAATATTGCTACTCGAGAATTTAAGTCTATACCAAAGTCTGCATCGATAAACAATGGTTTCTGTCCTTCATATCCAAATGTTACATCTGCAAAAAATATATATAAAAAATTTAACTTGTATTTTTGTTACGTACTATTTTCCTTATTTACTTCGTATTGATTTTCTGTTTCTAAATACAATTTGATAAATAATTTAGTATATGAAAAAATTAATTACATACTTTGAAGACCAAGAATTGGAGGTTGCAACGGTGGAGGATCTGGAAAACTGAATTTCACTATATATTCTCTCGGTCTTTGCAACAGTTCCGTGGGTCCGCTATCCTCCTCCTGTTTCTGCATTTTTGTTCGATTCTTTTCTTGCTTTCTCGTCAAGGTCTCCTTTTGTTTCTTCTCAGCCTGCTTCTTACTCTGTCCAGCCGCTTTGAGGTCCTTCAAACGCTTCTCCTGCTTCTCATACGCCTTCACCATTTCTTTTCTTTTTTGGACATACATCTTTTTAAACATGCTATAATTTCCTTTGTAATAGAATAACTTTTGCTGATCTAAGTGTATGACGTCCGTGCACACATTATCCAAGAAACTTTGATCATGCGATACTACTAGCAGAGTCTTCTTCCAGCCTTGCAAATAATTATCCAACCAGATAACTGCATTCAAATCTAAATGATTTGTAGGTTCGTCCAATAATAACAATGTGGGTTCCAGGAAGAGTGCTCTCGCGAGCGAAACACGCATTCGCCAACCACCAGAGAAATTTTTCGTCGCGCGATTTTGCATTGCACGATTGAATCCCAAACCAGCAAGAATCCGCCTTGCTCGTGGCTCTGCCGAATCTGCTCCAATAGCTTTTAATTCATCATACACCTGAAAATAATACATATTTTGTACAAGTTTTCAATAGTTGCAATCTTCTTCAAAAAAAAGAGATTTAAAAGAAAGCAAGAGAAAGGATAAGAGAATTATAGATTATCTTTTTTTTTGTATATAATTTATCAATTTTTTTAAAGAAAAAAATTTTTTAATTTATAAAAATAATGATTACCTCTTGCAATCTATTCTGCACGCTGGTATCCCCTTGCTCTGTCAATTCTTCTAATTTCTTACATTCTGCCTGAAGCTCTTTGCATTTCACATCAGCATTTAGCACCACTTCTACAGCTGGAGTATCATCCGCTATAACTTCTTGTTCACAATACAGGACATCTATCGTAGGTGGGATATTAAAAGCTCTTTTGGCTATATGACGGAGTAAGGTAGTTTTGCCATGACTGCGATAAAAAAGAATGTGATATATTCTTTTTACAGGAAATGTTGTCTTTTTGTACAAAATCAAAGTCTACTTGTTAAATTGAAAATTAAACATTTAAATAAGGAAAAATTCCTAAGTTTTTCGAGAAGTGTTGCTTACAACATGCTTTATAATTGATCTGTTCTTTGTTGCTGCACTAGGATTATATTACAATTTTTCTCTTTACGCTTTTATCTTATTTCTTGTCAAACATCAAACATATATTTTTTTATTTTAAGAGTGCAAAGAGTGTAGACTGGTTCAACTATAAAAAGAGATTTTATATTTACTTCATTTTAATCCTTAGTACGCACCTTAGTTTTGGACACCCTTACTACACGCGTTTGATCATAAAATTATATTAAACCATTGACAATTTTTTAACGGAGTCAACAGTTAAAATTTTTATTTCTGTCCTCAATCCAAGGAGCGTTCATGAGGCTGAAGCTTTCCACATTGTCATTATGTATTGGAATTGCAAAAAAGAAAGAACATACATATCTTCAAGATTTCGGAGTTCAAAATCTGGTGTTTATTCACATTTTTGAAGTAATCTATATATTTATTCCATAACATTTTCCTTGACAATTCCGTATTCGCGACCAAAAATATATATCCACTTTCCAAAAATATTTAATTTAGATGTTTGATTGAAAATGGAATATCATTAATTTTTACATTTTTTGGTTTTTAAATATAAAAAATTTTTTCAGTTGTATATCAAGCTAGTCTATCTTTTTAAAAAGAGAGATATTTGGCTTCAACAAGTGCAAAGTAAGAATGCACTGTTTCACAACTTCAGAAAGAATATGTATATTTTTGAAACAGTATAAATAATAATAATAAATATAATATAGTTATAATAGAGAGATTATAATAATTTGTAGATGAAAATATGTAAAATGATTGAGATTAAAAAATGCAGTATATCAACGAGATAAAAATGTCACATAATTTTATAAATGTAAGTATCGGTTTCATGTAAAATTAATTAATTTTAAGGATGTATTGCAACAAATCATTTTTTAATTTATTTTTATATGTTTAAAAACATACTACTGTTAATTAAAAAATAATTTGTTGTGTTTACGAGTCAAAGAAAGTCTTAAAATTACTTCCCTCTGATATATAATAATCAAGATAAAAAATGTAAATTATGATTATTAAAATAGAATCACAAGGGAGTTCAGGGGACATTTATATCTTTTGCTGTGTGTGTGTGTGTGTGTGTGTGTGTGTGTGTGTGTGTGTGTGTGTGTGTGTGTACACAGAGTGTTCCGTATCTTTTCATTAATATTTCAGAGAGTGAAAAAGGATGAAATTTTGAGCTAAAAGTTCCTTTACCAATTTTATCTCAAACCATCACTTATCGAGTTATTAATGATTAAAAGTTGATCAATCAGGTAGCACGCAGACGGAATATGCAGGAGCATAGTTTGCCATAGGACTCCTCGCGTTTGCTATGCATTATCCCAATTAACTTAAACTTATTCTAATTTTTCATATAAATAAATAAATAAATAAATAAATAAATTTAAA